GCGCCTGCGCGCTGTGTCCGACTCGCTGCCGGCCCTGCGGACGTGCGCTCGCTGCCTTCGCGACGCCGGGGCCCTGGGATGCGCGGCTGCCCGGCCCTCGCCAACTCCAGGTGCGTGGGGGAGAACCTCAGGAACCCCAGAGTGTGGTGGAGCGAGCCCCGGGAAGGGTCGAGCCTGCCTCCATCCCTCCGAGGTGCTCAGGGACCCAGTACCGGGGCGCCACGACCTCAGCTCCTTTTCTTTTTTCCACTTCCCCGCCTCTTGCCTGCGTCTCTTGGGGAGCGGGAATCTGAGAGGAAGGTGCAGAGAGGATGCTTTTCCCCGGCTGCGGGTCCTATCACTTATGCCTTTTATTAGCCAGCTCCGGCCAAAGCAGTTTTTACCCTTTTCAGGTGTGGGAATTCGCAGTCTCGGTACTCGGCTCGACCTCCAGGTGCTCGTTTGTTGTGGACTGTTAGGGTGAGGTCCAGCTGTCAGGGTCCTCTGTCCAGTGCCAACAGAGATTATTCCCGCAACTGAAAGTTGTCAAAGTTTCACTCGGGTCTTTGGTTTCTTGTTTACTTCGTTTTAGTGGTGTTAGTTAACCCCAGAAAACGAAGGGGCTTTCAGCCTTGAGGCGACATTGGATTTTTGTTTTTGTTTTTTGTTTTTTGTTTTTGAGATCAGTTTTAACAGTCTTCCAACGGAGTCTATATTGCAGTTGTTAGGATAATTTTCGGGTTGAACCACCGAAATGTGCTATTGTACTTTTAATTTTCAGCCTAATAGGAAAATAGCAAAATTGGTTTGTTGTTTTAATTGTCGACCAAAAAAAAAAAATTTGAGAGCAGAGACTCAGTTGAAGTGGGATTTAGCGTTCTGTCGCATTAATATGCACCGTGTCTAATACATGGGGGACTGCACTTGTACCATTGGGGACTCTGAGCTGTCACTTATAAATAGGAGATGAGCTCACCCCTTGCCACCAGTGTTTCTAACAATATAGGACTCTCTGTATTTCTCCACATGGTGTGGAAGCAAATGGCAACAGCATTCAATCTTAGTGGCTGGTGGTAAGTGATCAACCATATGCACCTTTTGGGCACAGAAGCTGTGCATAGTCAATCCCTGTTTTAACCAGAGAGAGTTGTGTGTGCGGTTCACATATGGGTCCTTCCCTACATCCCCTCCCCCCAGCAATGTTTTATAAAAACTAAAGGGAAGGAATAATATGCAGTAGGAATTGACTCTGACTTTATACCAAAATCTGATGTGTGATCTTTAGACCTGATCATTTGCAATTTCAGGACATTACTTGACTGGCCTGAGATGGGAGTAGGATTTGGGAGCTGCCCTTTCCACACCAGACTTTGTGCTTAGCCAGTGCATTTCAGTTTTCTGGAGTTGCAGTCTAGGCCTTACTCCTTTCTTCCAACTACCTATACTCATACTATTCAGAATTCTTGGCTGAAATATCTCCATTCTGAGGTATTTTGCTTGGCCAAAGCACTTGCCAGTTGAATCCATCAAAACCTCATATTGTAAGGATGGGTGACCTTGAGGGAAGTACTTTTTTTCTCTATGTTGACACAGGACCTTACCACTCCTACCTTCCTTCCTTCCTCCCTGCCTGGCCTACAGATCCATAAAGTTGCAGAAATGTTTTGTTTGTGCCTCCTATGCAGTAAGATACTTGTGTTCAGTACACCTACCTGACCACACTTACCTAGAGCAAATACCTCTTGGACCTCTTGCCTACACTGTTGCAGTAAGAGAATAAAGGTTTGATTATTACTTTCAGTTTGATCCTAATTGACCACCTAATTTTGTCTAACTTATCTAAAATTAAGTAAATTTTCAAGCTCATGGTAGTTCAGTGGATTCATGACTTAAGTTTAGTCCTCATAACTGTTGTAGTTGTTAGGGATTTGAGGTTGTTCATCTTTAATTTCTCTGACTTATTGTTGCAAAAATGCATAATAGCACCAATACCTGAATTTTGCTAACATAGATATTTGGGTTCTATGTTGTATTTTGTTAATTAGTAGTTTGCAATACAATTATTCTACATAGATTTTCATGTCATATTCCATTTAATCTCTAGTGAGTTTTTTAATAAGTATTTTGGAGTTATATGGACCAGCTGAAGAAAATCACATGCTTGCTTTCCTTGATAATCCTGTGAACACCAGTCGTAGCTAATAGATTACTTTGAAACTTGAAATAACATGATTAACTTGTGGGTTCTTTTGTCTCGTGGTATGTGAAGAGGTATGTCCAGAACAGCTTTCACAAACTCCTTTTTACCTCGTCCTGCAGAATTTTCACAGAATGGCATTTATCCTTACTATTTATGCAGTCTGATATTTTCTACTCTGTCAAATTAAACAAAAATGCTGATCAAGATCCACTAAATTAATTTCACAATTGATTTAATGGATAGTAGCATGCAGTTTAAAAGACATTGTAATAAAGCAACTAGTAGAATATACTCAATAAATATGATTTTTTTCTATTTCTGACTCATACTGTTGTGTATCAGTGAGTATAATTTTTTACTTTAGATGTCTTTTATAAGACAGTAAAGAGCAAATAGCTTATATAATGCATTATTGTCAAATCACCTGACAAAAGCATCCTGAGTCTGGATGGACTTTTATCAACTGTGATATCAACTAGAAGATACACTATTAGAGTGAAAGAGCTAGAACACCTTCTAAAAATAAACCCTCTCACTCTCTTACTTATTTTTTAAAAAGTAATAGGATGAAAAGAGAACTGTACTTTCTGATAAAAGAGAAGATAGGGTGTAAGATTGTTGTGAAAGTGCCCGTGTTTTTATCTTTATATTAATTCGAAACTAAAATTCTTTTATTACGTTGCTTGAAAAATACACAACACAAACTTTCAATTCCTTAGCCATAGATAAATATGTAAGTGGCCAATTTGTCAATCTCATTTTCTCTCTACTTGCCTTATAAGAATTCTATGAGAAAATGAAAAAGAGAAAGAGAACTGTAAGTTAAGTTAGTATTTTTATCGCTTAGTTAGCATCCTAAAAATGATATTAAATAGATAAGGATGAAATTTTAAAATTTTAATTGAAATTTTAAAATAGTGTTGTGCTGACTACATTTATGTGTCATTTCATAGTTTGCATTATTTCCATTGATTTTCACAATAACTTGACTTATGGGTAGGCAGCAAGTCATGTTTTCTTTTAGAGAGGAAAATTTGTACTTTTTTCTACTGCTAAGATCACATGTTAGCAAATTTAGGACTGGAACTTGGGTTTTCTTACCACTTGTCCATGGGCACTTTGTTGATCAAAGAAATATTTGAGAGTAGAGAATGTTAATGATGTGGGTCAGAAATCCACTTTTGATAGATGGGAGCATTCCATTCTTGGATTATGTCCATGGTTAGTATAATTACATCAAACACATCTTTTAACTATTGTATTTTAATCCTTATACTTTTTTTTACCTTTTTTAGCCCAAATGATAAAGCAACTAATAATGGATAAATCTAATCATGACCTTAAGAAAATTGAAATTAAGAGGTGTATTTAGTATTATGATATTCTAAATAGTCCCCTCTCAATGTATTATCTCAATTAGAAATACAGCTTAAAATGTATAGACTTTTAGATGGTTATTTTAGTATTTGCTTGTGTGAAATTCATTTTACGAATCTAAAATGATTATTAGCTTAATTTTAAACAAAGGAAATGTCCAGATTTCCCTTTAACTTTAATATCTTTAGCCAAAGAACTGAAATTATTTCTTTACGTGGTACTAAAATATTTTAAAATTAATACATTTGTATTTTTCACTTTTAGACATCTGTGGCATTTAAGAACACTATGGAGCTTATAAGAGTATATCACTGAAGAATATGATGGCTGAAAACAATTTTAAAATGCTAAAGATTCAGCAGTGTGCAGTAGCCAACAAACTACCTAGAAATAGGCCATATATTTGCAATATTTGCTTCAAGCACTTTGAAACACCATCAAAATTAGCAAGACATTATCTCATTCATACTGGTCAAAAGCCATTTGAATGTGATGTGTGTCATAAAACTTTTAGACAACTAGTTCATCTAGAGAGACATCAACTAACTCATAATCTGCCTTTTAAGTGTAATATTTGTCAACGTCACTTTAAGAATCTGAAGACATTTGTGAAGCACCAACAGCTCCACAGTGAAACCTACCAGAATGATGTTAAACATGGCAGAAGAGTGCTGGAGACCAAGCAAGAAAAGCCAGGATATGGAATGTACAGTACTTTCACCACAGAGGAGAGATGGGCATTACATCCATGCTCTAAGTCTGATCCTTCATACAGCTCTACAAAGAAACGAAAGAATATCCATGCTTGTACAATCTGTGGCAAAATGTTTCCATCACAATCAAAACTGGATAGGCATACACTTATACATACTGGTCAGAGGCCTTTTAAATGTGTTCTGTGCAGTAAATCTTTCCGGCAGTCAACTCATTTAAAAATACACCAACTCACACACTCAGAAGAAAGACCTTTTCAATGTTGTTTTTGTCAAAAAGGATTCAAGATTCAAAGCAAACTTCTGAAGCATAAACAGATACATACAAGGAATAAGACTTTTCAGACTCTTTCTTTAAAGGTGAAGAGCCCAGAATCATGTCCGTTGACTAATAAGTTCAACATAAAGCAGGATGGTTTTGAACATGGCAACACAGGTGAATCTGACGATAATAGTCAACTTGATATCCACTCTATTTATATTGTCCCTTTTCAGTGTCCAGAGTGTGAAGAGTGTTTTGAATCAGAACAGATTCTCAGTGGACACAAGTGTTTTCCTGCCAGAGGTGGCAAAATTCCAAGCAAGCTCAAAAGAAGCTACAACTATAAAACTGTTGTTAAAAAAATCTTGGCCAAGCTTAAACGTGCTGGGGGTAAGAAATTAGATAACTTTCGATCTGAGAAAAAAGTATTTAAAAACAGTTTCTTAAAAAATTGTGATCTCATTTCTGGTGAGCAGAGCCCCGAACAAACCCAGAGAATGTTTATGAGTTCTCTTGGCAATCGTGGAACATATAAAACAGTTGGCAATAAAAAAAAGAAAACATTGACTTTGCCATTTTCATGGCAAAAACACTTCCAGAGCCAAAATACGGGGAAAAGCTTGAAAGGTATCCTAACAACAGAAAACATGTTAACTATGGATGATGCAGTGAATAATAAAGACATGTCTGTCTATGGCTCACCAGGTGAGGAATTCTTTGATAACTGCAAAGTGCTTCAATGTGGGTTTTCGGTTCCAAGTGAAAACATACATAGTGGACATAAGATGTGTCCTTGTGACAAATGTGAGAAAGTATTTCCTTCTGTATCCAAACTACAAAGACACTACTTAATTCATACTGGACAAAGGCCTTTTGGCTGTAATGTTTGTGGGAAATCTTTTAGACAGTCAGCTCATTTGAAAAGACATAAGTTAACTCATATTGAAAAGATTCCTTATAGAAGATCTCTTTGCCAAGTTGAATTTGAAAATTTGAATGAACTTTTCATTCATCCAGGTGATAATGTTAATTATAATCCTTCCCAACAATGTCAGACTCTTGGTTTTCAAAAATATGAGACCTCAGAGTCAGATCAAATATCAGAAGTAAAAGTTAAGGCAGAATCTGAAGATTTAATTTTTGGTACCCACTGTAGGAACAGACAGCCCTATCTCTCTAATGCACTTCTGGAATCAGAGCAGAGCCATTACAGTCACTGTTGTAATTATTCAGAGCGTACAGAGAGAAATGATGGCCTCCTTTACCAATGCAGTGTTTGTTCTAAAAGTTTTAGATCTCCATCCAAATTGGAGAGACACTATCTAATTCATGCAGGGCAGAAGCCATTTGAATGCTCAGTTTGTGGCAAAACATTCAGACAAGCTCCTCATTGGAAGAGACATCAGCTTACTCACTTTAAGGAACGACCACAAGATAAAATGGTTGTCTTAAACTCAGTTATGTAACTAACAGAACCCCTCATACATTTGTGGTCTCTGGTGATCTTGTTTTTGAAGCCTGTATCATTTAAAGTATGTTTCTATCAAATGGCTTGCATTAGGTTAAATTATTTCATAGGCAGTTGCTTGTCAGACATAGAGAAAGATAAGACATGTAGACTCTTAATAACAAAGTCTTAGAAACAGCCAAATTAATTTTTAGAGGGAAGAATGTGATTTGGTGCCAAAAAATAATCACTTTAATTTATACATTGGCTGTATGGAAATTGTTAATCTATCCATGATGTATCAATAATTCAGCCTTTTGCTTTTTTGTGAAAGAATTACTCTTGGAGCCATGTCATCTCTAAGATGTTCAAAAGACTGAGAAGCAGAGTTTTGTGGGGTTTTTTATTGCCATAAATAGCCCTACAAGATTTTACTTATTTTATATTTTGCATGAAAGCATAATTTTGTCCACCTGTAGCTAAAATATATTGCAAAACTTACTCTCATATGTTTAAAATATATAAGAGCAATAAAGTGAAAATCGATGAGAAAACCATACCATTGTTTTTATCAATCTTTCCAAGCTGTTCATTCTAGGACTTTGGGTAATTTCACCTCTTTTTTCACAGGTGATTAAATTCATTTTGTGCCCAACCTGTAGCTGTCTTTACCAAGAGAATTTATAAGTAAGAAAGAGACTAGGATGCATCTCTATAAATTTACCATGTTTACTTAACCAGGTTTATTGTCCAAGTGCCATAATCTTTTAATAATAGGTATGCAGTGTTATCTTTTAAGAGGAATAAGTGCATATCTTTTATTTGCTTATTACTGATTGACAGTGATTGTGGTAGACCTCATCTATACACCTGCATCTCTACAAAACTTATCTGCTTTAGTAAATGTTCTAATGTGTCATTAATTAAATGGTTCTGTGACTATTTTTACCTGTTAAGTTGGATCAGATGGCAATGACTAGAACTAGTTTTCTTCCCTATATGTGTTTTCAAGACTAACACTGAAGAATTTTATTTTGATTTTTAGTAAATTATTATTTTAATTAGTAAAGTAAGTATTCCTACATAGGAAAAAGTTGCTTAGAGAATTTAGAATGCTGTTCTACTAAACAACATTGCCTATAATTTGGGAAATATTTCACTTAAACCTGAACATCAAAAGATCTGTAGGCACAAATTATCCTTCATATTTGACATTTTTTATAAAATGTTTAAGAATGACATGTTCTAGCAAGAAAAGAAAACATAACCATTATATTTCTAAGATGAAAAGAACAGTTATTTATCCTAGCACTCTTAAATATAGTGACAATCCCTGTACTGAGAGTGGATCAATGAACATTGTAAGTTTACATCATTCTCTAAGAACTGTATTGGGGCAGTGAAAAGGGGAGGTTGATATGCTTGCTTTACAAGGGAATTTTGAGAAACTTGGTTTTAATTTATAGAGACAAAACATGACAATACAGGTGAATGCCAATGTTGTGTAAATGTTCAGGAGAATCATGTTTTAAAAGAATCATTACTGCAGGTTAACTTGAGATACATTTTTCTAGAGTAAGCAAGATATCATTTTTAGAATTTGCTTTGAACCTCTTTTAAGAACACATCTATTGCATAAAAGCAAGAAATAGTTCGTATTTTCCAGAACTAAAGGCTTAAGGGTTTTTCCCTTAAAAATGTCTGAAATTATTTTGGTATTTTCTTAAGCTATTTATGTAATTTTATTTGAAGTAAATAGCTTATATATTCCTTTCATACCCCAAACAGAGTTCTAACAGTGTTGTGTTTGTATGATTATTAGACTCTTTGCCTAAGTGATACACTTTCTTTTGGCCCATGCCTTTTTAAGCTGTTTCATATTGAAAGTTGGAATATTGTAAAAATTTTGTCAAAGATGTTCTGTAGTGCTATTTGAAGTACCTGTAACAAAATACATATTTACTTTTAATATCATTGCAAACTTCTTGTGGAAACTTTATAGGAATGAAAATAAACTGTATACATCCATAATAAGATTTAGCATTAGCTATTAAGTGATGAATTGCTGCATGCTAAAACTGTTAATATTGTTGAATCAATGACTGGTTTTCTGAAAAAATAAACTTTATAAATATCTTTAAAAAGAATTAGAAGAATTTTTGTTTGGCTGATTCCAGAACATAGCATAACTTACAGAAGTAGTTTGATTGAGGTAATGTTTCTGTTTTACACTGCAATAGAGCCTACAATTTCAAAACAAAACATGTGTGTTGAAGGAAAGTAGGTGGTGATTTAAGTTCCTGAAAAAGTTACATCAGAATGTTTTTAAAAATAAAGTTTCAAGTTACACAGTTTGGACTGTTGTTTTTTTGTTGTTTTTTTTTCCTAATGAAGAAAGGAAATCACATAATACTGGAACAAGGTACCAATTGCCATTTGCTTTCCTGGGCCCATACCAATTGACCTTATACGCTGAACTTCCTGACATGGATATTTCATCATTCTCTTCCTTCATATTGAATACTTCAATTGTTCCGCATCACCTACAAAAGAATATGTTAATTCCTCTGCATGTCATGATATACCTGCTTACTCATTTATGCTCCTCTGGCCTTTCCAGGTTTGTACTAAAAATATAGAATCAGGTCATTCAATGAATATACTCTTATTGCCTGCATTTTGTCTACCTAGTATTATTTTAAGTTATACTTTGTTGAGTGAAGAAATTTTGTTGGGTCAGGTTGTACTTTTTATTCCATGATTATGGAAGAAAACTAGTGTTTAAAACTCCAGAAAGCATTCCAGTTATAACTTCGGTAGGGTAACCAACTAGAATTAGCTTAAGGGTATTGGAACAGTTTCTGAAGTCAAGTCTGGCTATCATACAAGACTTGTTAAAATAAAATTTGCAAGGGATTCTTTTGATGCAGCATACATGCTTCTTAGAAGCTTCAGGGAAATAAGGAATATTTCATTTCTATCTTATTGAGATATATATTGCCAGTTAAAAGGGCTTAGAAATTTGTGCTGAACTGCTGGAATTCTGTTAGCCTAAGAAAAAAAAGAAAGAATTTAACAGGAAAGAAAATAATACAATGGTATTATTTAATGGAATATAGAACATGTAGTATATTGCATCTACTTTGGCAAACACTCTTTAAATCTTGAGCGTAAGTACTCCTGAAGTCCTTACAATTTACCTAGCACTATACCCTGTGCTCCACTGCTTGTTGTTTATATCTTTATTACTTGGTTCTGTTGATGGCTTTCAAACTAATGTGTACTGAAATCATCTGTGGGGCTTGTTAAGAGCATATATTGCCGTATCCTACCCTCAGAGTTTCTGATTCAGTGTCAGATTGGTGAGAGAATTTGCATTTATACAATACAGGTTAGCAATTGCTGCTGTATTAAAGGTATTCTTTGAAAACCACTGACCTAAACTACATGCTTCTGGAAATCAAGGAAATGCATCTGTTATTATTAAAGTTTTATACAAAGGGCTTCATATATAGATGATACTTGTATATTTTTACGTTCTCAAATGTATACTAAATGTGTGCAAAGAGGAATGACTGAATCCATTACTACAAACCATTTTACACTCTCCTTAAATCATAGATTTACTTAGACCCTTTCATTCGTTTTGAGATGAATTGCCTTCTAATTTGTTGAACTCAAAGGCAACCCAACATGAGTTTTCTAACCCAAAGATGTCTCTATCCTTACTCTGGTTTACCATATCCTCAGAATAATAATATTCTCCCACCTTTCTGAAGCTTAATTTTCCTTCCTCTCCTAGGAACCTCATCAATAGGTCCATCTTTTTTCTAATATCTTTAGTTTTTTCCTCTCATTGTTTTCCTTTTTGCCTAAAGGAAATTCCCTGTGTTCTAATTTATTTATTGGGAACTGCAAGTGAAAGAACACTTCACTCAAGTTGCTCTAACAATAGGGACCATCATTGGTTTATATGGTGAGATATCTGTTAAGGTTGTTAAACTATATAGTTAATTGGTTCCTTCCATCTGTTTTACCTTTCACAATTACAAGGCTTGTTCTTTGGTACTTTTAGTGTGTTTTGTCTGCAATTGGGATTTCACAATTCCTTCACAGGGATAAGAGAACAGAAGTGAGCAAGAGATCCAGAAATCCCTATGAGAGGAAGAAACAACTTTCCTAGAAGCCTACAGCAAACCTTACCCTATCATCTGCCAGAATTGCTTCACAGGTACATTCCTGAACTAATCACTGACTAAGGAGATAGAACTACATAGTCCTGACTCATCTTTCTCTAGCACAAGGTTGCCTGCGGTGATAGGCATACTGGTCAGATTTTAAATTGTGCTTGCAAATGGAAAGAAGAACTAAGGCAGTCAAATATGTTCATTTCACCTAGCTTAAAAGGACAGTAGTCAAAGCAAACAACTTTAGTTCTACCTGTCATACTATTTTGTCATATTTTACTCATTATAATCATTCATCTTATACCTATGCCCTCTGTTGCCTCTTCACTCACTGACTTCTTTGTCCTTTTTTTTTTTAACCTTTAACCTAGTATTTTACTCACCAACTCTTGATATTTGCTCTATCAATGGTCATCACTAGGAGAAATATTTCTCCCCTTCACTGTGGATCAGCCGAGTGGTCTAGACACCTTGACTTAAGTTCTTCTTCAGCGATGGTTCATGACCAATCTAAGTCTTGTTTCTCCCTTTCTATCAGGGCTACTCAAGGTTGCTGACCTAAATCTAAGCAAGTCAATGTGTAATATTACCTTGGCTAGAGTAATTGGAGTAAGATTTGGTATTATTGACAATTTCACCTTATGAAACTTTTGTATTATCTGGTTCCTTTGTTTTCTTCCTCAAAACACATTATAGAATAGTTGTAATATGAAAAAATTGATTTATGATTTTTGAAAAAATCATAAAATGTAATTTTTAGAATATTCATATCCATCAGTCAAAAACTTGACTAAGAGAAGTAGTATGAAAAGAAGGAAAAGATATGACACAGCATTTAGTCATGATTCTACTAGGTATTATAAATTTAAAAACTTGCACAGGAGATCTTGGTAGAGCTAAAGCCTATTGACTTCATATGTCATAAAATCATAAGATGAATTATGAGTTTAATAAGTACATATGTTGGCAAGCTGCTCCTCACTTATCTGGATACCTCCTGCTACCTCAGACTGTCCTTTTTAAGCTTATTTTGTCTTAATTTCTTCTCGATTGTGCTTTTTGGTCCTACTATTTATTCAATTAGGATGAATTTCTCTTCATTCTACATTTTCAGTATCTTCATGATTATTCTCCCTTCTTCATTTTTACTGCCAGATCCCAAACTTTGGCCTAAATTTACTTTTGCCTTACACTGACAATAGCCTCCCAGCTGGTATTTTCATGTCCCTATTGCCTACGCCAAGCCATCTAACTTTGTACTAAAAAGCCATCATCCAAAAGCAGATTTTCAATGATTAGTGTCCCATTGCCTTCAACAATAAATGCACCTCCTTCTAGTAGTTTTCAAGTTCACTGTCAATTTATACCTCCATAAAAAAATATTCATAAAGTTGGCCCTCCCTGGTGGTGCAAGGATCACCTGGAGGTGAACACATGGAGCGGCTGACCTCTCCTGACCTCCCCGCTGTTCCTCTCAGCTGTGTACTTTATAGATCTGCCTGTTCTGCTTCCCATTCTGTCTCTGGTGAATCCTATCACAGCCCCTGCACCTCTGGCTTGTACCCCAGTTCTGTATGCATAAATAAATAAATCATTTTTTAAAAAATCATAAAAACCAAGCTCAGATGCCGTTAGGTTTTTGTTTTCCCACAACTGCTATTTTTAGGGTTGAAAGAAACTCCATATCTCCCGCTGCCATGCTACCCTGAGAAATCCTCACCCCACCACACCACCCTGGTGGCTCAGGAATCCCGCTCAGACCAGCAGGATGTCTTCTCTTGGCCACCCGCTAGGAGGCGCGTGCGGGGGAGGTCGCAGCCCTTTTGCCTCTCTAGCTCAGAGCCACCACCTGCACGGACTTCCTGTCCCGGTCCGCTTCCGAGGGAAGGTTCTTGCTGCAGTATGAGTTCTGTCTTAGGACTGTGAAAACGGAGGCCATCCCGGCCAACAGGTCCTTAAATCACAGGGTTAGGCAACGGCTGCAGCCGCTTAGAGAAAGCGTCTCGCGTTCACCGGTGCTGCGGCGGTGCTTTCCTTTCCATTGAAGTGGAGGGAAGGTGCTACTATGGCGGCCGCCGCTCAACCGAAGAAAATCGTGGCCCCTACCGTGTCCCAGATCAATGCGGAGTTCGTGACCCAGGTACACTGGACCGAGTTTGGAGGGGGAAGGTGGGGACAGCGAGGCCCAAAGGCTTGCGGGGCTGGAGAAACGACTGATAACTTCCCTCGACGCTGGCGACATTCATCCATCAATTCATGGACATCAGTCTTTTAACTGAGTATCTGATCTGTCAGTCCCTAGGCTAGGTGCGGGGGTTACTTTGGTTAAAAGAGACTGTTTCTGCCCCCAGGAGTTCATGTTCCAGGGAAAACAGACAAAAAAAAAAAAGAAGCTACTACTAGAGCTTTGCCATATTCCAGCCTGTTTCAGGAGCGATAATGTGTCTTTGAAAATAGAGTAACTGTGGTTGGAGAGTATGCTGTTCAGACCCTATTTGTGGTGTTACATTATGAACCAAGGTTGACTTGGAAGCAATCCTTAGCTCTCCACCCCATTCCTACATTTTACTGGGGTAAGAGTGCAAGGAGTTCAGTGTAGAAAGTTATTACTTTACCTACTTGTCTTCTCTATATCTGTCTCAGAGGATTTGTCAACACAGTAATCTAGGAATCATGGAGAGTTCCTCCTTTCCCCCAACACATCTCTACATTCTAAATATCATTTAAGTCTGTCTACTTCTCTGTAAATCAAGTTGCACTTTTTTTTTTCTGTCTAGGTCTAGGCATCTTGATCTGTCTGTCTTTCCTCTTGCTCTCTTCTAGTTCATTCTTCATGTTGCTGTCAGAGTTATGTCTATGCAAAAGCAATTTGGTTATCTCTTCTTCATTTTTAAGGAGTTCTAGTTGTTCTAAAGATAATGATCTGAATCCTTTAAAGTATTGTTTGATACTCGGCTTCTAGCAGGCTTTCTCTCTTTTCCCTCACCAGCACTATCTCAGTGCCTAGCCATATTGAACTGCAATTATTTTGAATGTGCCATGCTACTTGAACTTTCTGGCCTTTCAGTATGGTACCTTCTGCTTAGAATCCTCATCTCTGCTTCCCCTCTTCCCCCCATCCTTTATATGGTTAATTCATTGTCATCCATCTATATTACTTTTCCTGATGCTTGAGACCAGATCTCCCTCTTCTCATACATGATAACTGTATTTTTTGTAGTAAAAATCATTTATTAGTTTTCTCCCTGAAAGACATTACGTTTTAGTGGATAAGTCAGATAACTGAATAGTATAGTTTTAGGCAGTGATAAGATCTATCTGGAAAGTGAAAAAGGGTGTTATACAGTGACTGGGATGGGATGTATGATGATAGTCTTCTCTGAAGTTACATTTAGGCTAAGACCTGAATGCAAAAACCAGGATACAGTTTAGTTAATATGTGATTGTCAGATGGTGATAGGAGAGCAAAAGTAGTAATAGTATTACAGGTTAGTCTAGTGAAGAGATTATGGTGATGTCTACAATTAAAAACTGCATTAGACAGCTGTATATGTAACCTAGAGGCCATATGATTTGATGATTGTGGAAGATTTTTGAGGGAGATGAATTGACATACTTTAAACAAACTGGGTGATTGCTTTGGACTGAACTGGGGAACACAGGAAAATTAGTTTTAGCAGGGCATATCAAGAGCTGTGTTTTGTCCATGCTATATGTGAAGTCCCTAGCACACATTCAGTTGGCATTAGTTAAGGTGGTTGAATATATTGAATGGAGAGCAGTTGGCAAAATCTGGACTTGAATATAAATTTGGGAGTTAATGACCCAAGATGATACTTAAAACTATAGACTTAACTGAGATATCCTAGAGAATTTATTAAACCTTGCATTAGATTGTAGAATTGAGGCACCTAGTATTGTACTGGTCACACATTGATGAATGTTTGTTGGAAGATGGTGTGAATTAATGAATAAACATACCAGGACATGTGCCTAATACTTGCCAAATACTGTTTTGGGCTCCAGTAGGCTACAAAGATGATTAAAGTATGGTATTTGTTTTTAGGAATCTCACAATCTGTGAGAGGAGACTTTGAAGGGAAACTCATCAGAGGTCAGTGTGACACATACCAAAATAGAGATTTAAGAGAAATGTTTTAAGAAGAAAGAATAAAGTAGCTACATTTGTCTCAGGAAAGCATTTCCAGAGAGAAGTTTCTTATTGAGAAAGTAACATTTGAGATGGATTTTTGGAAGCAAAATAGAAAGCTGGGAGGTTTTTCATTTTTTCTTTTTTCAGGGAGGGAGAACATCTTGGACTCTTCCTCCTTTGCTTCTTTCTCTTTCTCCTCACTTTTTAAAAACTTATTACTGAATTAATAAGATGTAGAAGTCAAATATTTAATTTCAAGATCACAGTTGAATTTTTTACCTCACTTTTGTATGTGACTGTATTTTTAATTTTTTGTCCTTCAGTAAGATTTATTTTGAAAAAACCTATGCTGTCATAACAATGCTGACTGGATAATGAAAGAATTTCTATTTTGCATGAAAATAACATATATGTAGAGAAGGGCTTATATTCCTGTGGGTGTTAATGCAGAGGATACAGGTTCCACCCGTAGAGAAAAATCGAAGGCTTCAAAGGCACTGAATAATGTTTACTAGATTGCTAATGAAGTAGAGATATATAGCAGGACTTTGAATCAGAAGACAGGACTTTCATAGTCAGGGAAGTCCCTGACTCCCTGAAAACAAGTCAGATTCAGTTCTTCAAAAAGTGTGATGTAAGGAAAAGACGGCTGAGTTTGTGTGGTGCCCATAAGGATCAGAATGAAGAAATCAGGATAACACAGAATAGTTGGGGGTAAAGTAGTATTTTCTGTTGGTTGGAGGGTGACTGATAATTTCTGAAGGTGTCATATAAATTATTCTGGTGATATCAAGAGGCTTCCTGGAACAGACATCCTTTTAATTAACAAAATTAAAAAAGGGAATTGATTTTGACAGGTCCTTTGCTATAGAAGCAGAAATAGCACAGGCCTCATCTCTTAAGTGTTCCTGTTAAGCAGGAAGGAATCGTTAAGCAGGAAGGAAAGATAGCTAAGCAGTCAAATAACTGATAATACAAAAAAAAAAAAATCTTATTTAAATTTACTTAGAAAATAAAGAGAAGAAGCGAAAAAAGAGAACATTTCGGGTTTTTACATCTTTCATTCAATTTCGGGTTTTTATATCTTTCATTCATTCATCCATCCATCAGCTATTAGATGAGTGCCTTCTGTGTGCCAGAAACTGCAGGATCATTTTGATTTATTTATTTGTACATACAGAACTGGGGTACAGGCCAGAGGCTCAGGGGCGGTGAGAGGCTTCACCGGAGACAGAGTGGGGAGCAGAACAGGCAGATGGACGAAGTACACTGCTGA